CAGCCCCGGCCCCGGCCCCGGCCCCAACAGCCCCGGCCCCGGCCCCGGCCCCAAAAGCGCCCGGCCCCGGCCCCGGCCCCAAAAGCGCCCGGCCCCGACCCCCGGCCCCAAAGGCGCCCGGCCCCGACCCCCGGCCCAACAGACCGTCCCGCAGCCCCGGCGATGTCACGACAGCCCCGACAGTTGTAGCACCCGCGGCTTCCGGGGCGGGCGGGGCGCCCCGCGCGTCGTGTCCGCTCCCGCCCCGCCGCGGGGCCGAGCGCGGGGGCGGCGCTTCGGTTGCCGGGGCGGGCCGGGTGTCGCCATCATCGCCATCACCGCCGTCATCATCGTCACCATCGCCATGGTGAGCGGGGCAGCGGGGCCGGGGGGCGGCGGCAGCTCCGCGAAGCTGCGCCCTGGGGCGGGCGGTGGCGGTGCCGCTGGCGGGGTGTGCCCGGCTCCGTCCGGCTCCGTGCTCAGGGGCGCCGTGGGGTGCAGCCGGGGCGAATTTTAAGGTGCCGTTCGGGCTCGTGGATGCCCAGCTGTTGGGAAGCTGTTGGGAAGCTCTAGGCCGCCCTGCGTTAGGAACAGGCTGGTTGAGGAAGTCGGGAGCGAAGGCAGCTGGTGCGTTTCAAGGAGGGAATGCGTTTCACGTGCGACAGTGTTTATTCTTCACCGGATCCACTGTATAGTAATGCAGGGCAGATGACAGGATGTCACTGCAGGGGCGCTAATAAGTTTGCACTTTGATATCAGGAAAAGGTTTTTTCACCTCGAGAGTGGTCGTGCACTGGAACAGGCTCCCCAGGGAAGCGGCCACAGCACCAAGCCTGACAGAGTTCCAGAAGCGTTTGGACAATGCTCTCAGGCACATTTTGTGACTCTTGGGATTGCCCCGTACAGGGCCAGGGGTTGAACTCGATGATCCCAATGGGTCCCTTCCAACTCAGCGTGTTCTGTGATTATAACGCAGCTCAGCTGAGTCCCCTTTGCCCAGGATGGCATGGTAAACCCAGTGTCGTAAAGCTGTTTAAAATTGAATTTCGTATTCAAGCATATGTGCAAGACACATGTAATAGCCTGGCCGATGCACCTGCTCACCGTGTAACACCCGCCTCAAGCAGGTCAGGTTTGCCCCAACCTGTGCAGCAGCTTTGTTTGCCCCTCGCTTTCAGAACGCAAGATCAGCATTCGCCACTTAAATAAGAATGCCACTGTTTGTTTTCAAATACAGGCATTGTAAGTCTTTTAATCCAGGCAAAACTGTAATTTTTGATTCCCGTGTTGAATTTATTCACACCAGCAGGAGTCCTGCTTTGTGAGTTCCTGCAGATGTCACTTAGGTAAAGCGGTTGCTTTGTTGTAGCTGACTGTCACTGAGAGTGATGTGTTTCTAACCTCCCTTTATTTCTATGGTGACATGAAGTGAACTGATTCATTAAAGCAGTGTTGAATCTTACAGCAACCTCTAACAAAACATTTCATGGTGAATTTGTTTAATTTCTTTTGAAAAGCCTTCAGGACCCACATGATCTGTTGACATAATTCCATTGCATGATGATTTTTATAAACTCAGTTCTCTGAGTGTTTTTCTTGTTATATTCCATGCCGCAAATGATGCCCGGGATTACGTGTTTTGTTTTGTCCTTGGTGGGTATAAAGATATTCCATTTTTGTCTTTTATATGTGAAAGAACTTGAAGATTATAACTTTGTCCTTTCCTCTTTTCACATTTTTCTTTAGTAAACAAATTTTGTTCTTTTAGCATTTTCCTACTGCTTATATGGTTTTAAAGTTTAGATATTTTCCACTTTGTCTGCAGTTTTCTCTAAACGTGGTGTTTAACCTGTAGGTTGCTTGCCAGCTGTGGTGTGTTTCACTGCTGCTGAGCAGTGTGTTTCTTGTGTCTTAGATGTTCATATTGCCAAATTCTATCATTTTTTTCCTGAACTGTTTTGCACTCTCTAACTGCAACCCACTGTAATTATCAGATTTTTTCCCTGTGATTTTGTTTTCTAGATAGTTTTTCCCCTTGTATTTGATTTTTTTTTCCTGATCGTTGTTGTAGTACTTTGCATCTGTGTCTATAGAATTTTCAGATTATCATTTTGAGTTCTGCTTCTAAACTGCTTGCAATCTTTCCCACCTTAGTTGTCAGCCCAGATTCTGGAAGTATGCTTTTGTAGTTTCATTTTCAGTGTAATAAGGAAAATAGGAAATAAAGCAGATGTGTGGCAGATCATTGTGGAACACCATTTGACTCCCAGTTTGCAGTGGAAGTATTCCTAATTACATTTTCATATAGTAGTCATAACAGCTCTTCAGTTTAGCCCCTAATGCCTTATTTGGCTTGTGAGACTCTCAGGTGACTTAGATTAAAAACTCCGTCAATGCCCTGTTTGTCACACCTGTAGCTTCTCCTTTCCTCACTGTGTCAGAAAAAGATTTGTTCTTGACAAATTCACATTATTTGCTTTTTATTATTGTCTTCTTAGATGCTCAGTGACTGACTGCTTAATAGCTCGTTGCATTATCTTCCTAAAGACTGTCTCTCTTGGGACTCTCTCTCTTGCCCTTCTCCAGTGCCCTGGGACCCTTCTCTTTTGTTTTTCTGTGGCCTTTCAAGTGTTAGAGTCCTGTTTGTTTCTTTTATACTTAAAAAGCCATCAGTTTTCCCACTTACATACCCTTTGTCCTGATGTTTTCTCAAAATGCCTTAAGAATAATTTGTCTGCTGGAAGCTGATGGGAAAACATGTTTTGGGAATGTGTGCTGCCCAGTTAGGTATGGACACAGCATCCTGGGAAAGGATAAGTTAATGTGACTGTTGGATGCCATGAATTTACACACCTGATCCATCTCAGACTTTTTCAAAACATCTTTTCTTGGAGCAACAAATAAAAAAAATATCGTATCATGCTTACACAAAGATAAAGGTTATAACTTTCAGGGGAATTGGTTTGTAGTGTATTTGTGTCAGACCTTACACTTCAGTCATTTGCAGGCAATGCCCTGGAAGTAGTTGTGTGCGTTGTAAAACTGGGCACATCGCTGTGGTGGAAGCCAGGGCAGAGGGAGAAATGTTCTGAAATATCCCACAGTTATTTGTCTAACAGCACCTTGGCTTTACAGGTCTGCTGATCATTGGGAAACAGCTTTCATTGTCATCAGGTGGCAGTATTTCAAGTCAGTTCTGATGCACTCTGGCATCTTGATTGTGATTGTGTGACTCATGGCTGCTGTGGACAATGAGCAGTAAATTCCCAAAGGGAAGCCTGCTTATCCCCATCTGAGATGTGCTCTCCTGAAATGCATTATTCTTTAATGGTACCTTTCATGTAACCATGTGCAGAGATTAATTTGTCCATCATCTTAATAATGTTAGTTTCTTTTTATTCATGAGTTTGGTGCACTCTGACACTTGAAAGTGTTCCAGATAAAGAAATGCAGCATTTGCCAGAGAGCAATGGCTGACTTGCCTAACTGATGCCATCTGGCATTGATTTTGTGGATGTAGAAACAAATGGTTAGTGGAATAAAAGTGTACAACTACCTTAGTTCTTTTTGCAAAGTGGAGGAAAGTATATGTGAAGTAGACTCTCCCAGTTGCCCGAACTTGCACTCTTGTAATTTTGACCAAAATCTTGAATATATCAGGGAATGAGCAGTTCAGCTCACTTCAGCAGAAAATTTTGCTACTTGTATGTTATCTTTGTTACTGTTATCGTCATCATCAGTTCATTGGTAAAACCTGCATCTTAGAGAATATCAACATGGAAAGCCTCAGTTTAGACGAGACAGGGAAGAAAAATGAGTAATTTTTTAAAAATGCTTTCATTCATCAGTGGAAAAGACTGTTTTGGAAAATGGGCCTTAGAAAATAGGAAGTGAATGAGGAATTTCTAGAACTTGACAATGGAGAGTCCTGGGGTTCTCATGGTGTAATATGATTTTCAGCTGAAGACTTTATAAAGGCAGTAGAGCTCATGGGGCAGCTGTGGAATATACCTTTTTTTGCAGGAGTTTCATTTGGGACCCAGTAGTCTAATTGTACTGGATGAGCTGGTAAAATGGAATAACTTTGAAGATCTCTCATTCAGAGCTGTCATATAAACAGACTAAACTGTTTCCTGCTAATAGACTTTCCTGAACAAGTGCACATTTATAAAATGACTTTTCTTTTAATAATTTTCAAATTACGTACTTTTTGTTGCAAAATAGCTACCATTCTGTCTGACATTTGCAGCATTTCATCACAGGGAAAAATAAAATGTTATAATGCAACATGAGGAAAAAATAAGCAAAATGCTATCAGATAGCCTTTAAGTACTTATTGCATGCTGAGTCTTCCTATGACCATCAAAAATATGTCATGGTTTCTTCTTGAACTAGTGTTTCCAAGTAATGCTAATTTACTTCTTCAGCAGATAGGCTGTATGCATTGCAGAAGATGTAGCTGGTAAAATAACAGATTCTTTGGCACTCTGTCAGGCAAATGAAAACTGTTAAAAAACCCCATAGCTTTCCTTTGTTCCAGGAGCTCATTTTGATTTCAATGCTGACATCTTTATGACATTATGTGCTATATAAAATGCCACCCTACAAATATGAAGTTGACAGGTTTAGAATCCATGGGATAAATTACCTCCTACTGTAGCCAAGTTTTGGCTTTGGCTTGCAGAAATTGCCATCTCTCTAAAAGTAGTTTTAGATGCATTGGTGGCTCTTCTGATAGAGTGGCTGAAATAGGTGACATTATAATAGTCAAAGTTGTCTAGCATTACCTAATGATAAATTTAATACTAATCTCCATTTGTCACCCAGAGTTGGCTGGCCAGATCCTTTGGGTTGTGGGTGCAGATCTTAATAACTTTGACATGTCTGTCCTAATTGTATGCTGGGGTTCTTTTTTTTTTAATATGTATGTTGTCAGAAGGTCAAGAAATTCAGGAATTACCCAGTGAACCATTGCCAGAAATAAAGAAAAGTTACGAACTTTCAGTTGGTAATAAAAAAAACAGTGGGATTTAATGACAGAGACAGTGGTTATTTAGAGAATTGTTCCAGGCAGATTTGACGTGGATAAAATTTATACTTAACAGCATTGTGTCGGAGTTCTTAATTTTTGAAAGTACGTGTAGATTGTTGTTAATAAAGGAACCCAGTAGGTCTATGGAAGATCTGGAGCAGCTTGGAAGGAGGGACATTATCTTTGGGCAAAGAGATGCCAAACTATGATAAGAATCAAAGAGATGCCAAACTATGATAAGAATCAAAGAATCATCATTTAGGTTGGAAAGGACCTCCAACCTGCTCAAAACAGGTCTAACCAGACCAGGCTGTTCCAGCCTCTCTCCAGGCAGG